TGTGCTCGAACTCGGAGGTGCCGTAGTTTCGGTGCTTGATCGGTTGGATCGTGAAGACGTACGACTACTTCCTCTACGTCGTGTCATCGCTTCCGCAGTCGGTCTGCGTAGGGTACGTAGACAATACTCTTCCCCTCGTTGCTATGCATCACATGATCTTGCGTGTGCGTAGGAAAAATTTTGAAATTACTACGAAACCCAACACGGGACTCTCTGAGCCGCTCGGCATCGACCTCTGTATATAAAGGGACGATCCGGCGGCGGTTCAGGACAAGTAACATCAGATCGAGAACTAGGTCAAGCGGATTTGCTCCCTGGTAATCGAGACATAAGCAATCCCACTCAAAACTGGATCGTAGGCTTTTACCTTCACCGTAAAGGGCCGAACTAGTATAAACCCCGTGTCCTTTGTCCCGATTAACCCCTTTAAGCTTCCTAGTTGTGATGGCTCCACGACTAAGTCCTTTCATTAGGACATCTGACGTGAGAATTCCACGACAAGGACCGATCTTCTTGTTGCTCTTCTTGTTCTTCCATTTCTTGGATGAGGGGTCAAACCCAATTCCCTCCTTGGCAACACACTCCTTTTGGTTGTTCAAGAGGTCACTGAAGTTTTTCTCCCCTTGAATGCATGACACAAACCCTTTCTCAATTTGGGCTTTTAACTTGTTATTCTCCTCTCGGAGAGAGGTGCAATCGTGAACAAAGTTAGCCGTACAAGATTCATCATTTAACTCCATATGAGGTACGGAAGAAAGGGCCATATGAGATACGGTTCCAGCTTTTCCATCGAATGGTTCCAACAAAAAATACTGCGGGGTGCAGCTTTTCTGCAGCTCCCCCGCCGCCCCGGTTGAGCGTCATCGCACACGAGCACTTAGCCGCTGGTGAGATAGCTTGTGGAGGTTGCGAGGAGCATGGGGGAAGATTGTGGAGGAGTAGAGTCGTGATGGCGGGAGGTGAAAGAAAGAGGAAAGGTTAAGGGGTAATGAAAGGGATCGGTCGCGCGGGACCCACCATATACACGTGTCTCGTGCGGGGCGGTTGTTTCGTGCCGCGCGGGCCGGCGGAAAGTTTAGCCGGCCAGCCGGCTCCAAACGTTTTTCTAAAACCAAGCCCGCGTGGTGCTTTACAACTGCACACCACCATCCTAGCCTAAACACGGGTTTACATTAGCGTCGTTGGTTTCCGAAAAAAGCTCATATGACCGAATCGTCCGCACACGAATATCGTGGGGACCTGAACTCCGTTCCCCAGTTGATCAAACTACGCCAAGAGTGAAATGTACAAAGCGCACTATATAATGTCCAAAAAGTTAGATAGAAAAGCCCTTCTTTTTCTCGAGCAATCATTTTGTGAGCACTATCGAACCAAACGAGGATATTATACAGTAAAAAAAGACGGAAAAAGGCGAGAACGGCCGCAGAATATCGCGCCGCCGGTAGTGGTGGTGGAGTAAACGCCAGGCGGGTCGCGAGCTTCAAGCACGCGGGCTCACGGACGTGTCACTGCAGCGTGGCCCCAGCCGCGAGCCCGCTGTCATTCATTGACTGACAGAAGGAGACAGAACCGCAAGTGGCGCCCGTGCTCCATATATGCGCTCCGCCTCTGCCTGAGCACCAGAGCATTTCCAGTGCTCTGCTCCTCCGAGCTCGCTCTCTCTCTCTCTCTCTCTCTCTCTCTCTCTCTCTCTCTCTCTCTTCTCCCGCCCGTGTCCGCGTCCTCTGCGGGAAGCTTGCAGGCATGAGGAGCGGCAGAGTCCCTGGACGAGGAGGCGGTGACGGTCGTGGTGGAGAGACCGCCGCCCTCCTGTGCGGCCTCCTGCTCTTGCTCGGCGCCGCCGACGCGCAGGGCATCCGGCGCCCCTCTTCCTACAAAACCTTACGAGGTAACACCCCCGACCATCCCTTCTCCAGGTTGCTGGACGCGCGCGCTCCTCTCTGCTCCGTCTCGTGTTCGTGTGTTTGGTCCTGATGAGGGAGAGGCGTGTGAGCTTCTAGCGGGACTGCGCGCAAACTGATGAGTGCACATCGAATCTCCCCTGAAATCCTACAGCCAGTGGGTGTAGTCGCCTCCATGGTTCTCCTCCTGGAAACAAAAGCAAAAAGATTTCAGAAGGTTGACTGAGAATCCTACCGAGTTAATTAGTTAGTGGTGTTATCTTTCTTTCAAAAAGGAGGTTGAACATCTTTATTAAAGTTGATGATGTAAGGAAGCGAGGTCAAATACATCCAAAATTTGAGTTTGAATAAATAAAAAAAGTTAAGGGATGATTCTGAGCAAATATTCAAGAGTTTGAATAACCGTGACTAACTGTTGTGCAGGTGATGCTCCCCTTGTGATCGCCAAAGGTGGATTTTCAGGAGTATTTCCTGATTCCAGTTATGGCGCGTTTTCTTTCGCATTGCTTGCTAGTGCACCTGATACAAGTCTGTGGTGTGATGTGCAACTCACAAAGGATGGTGTTGGAATTTGCCTTCGGGATATAAATATGTCAAACTGCACCAATGCTGCACAAGTCTACCCTGCGAAAAATAAAAAAGAGGCAAAATATGTTATCGATGGCGTGCCAAAAACTGGATACTTCTCTCTGGACTTCACCTTGTCTGAGATTCAAACGACAATTTCTTGTGAGTACCACTTTCAGCTTTCTATTAAAGCATACCATCTGTACATCTCAGTTACACATGCTAGTGAACGTGGACCAATATGAACTACAGTATGTTACTCGCATGCCTTTCCTCTGGCTCTTTCCTTGTTTTACACAGACATTATACAGTATGTTTTATATCACTTCTCTGCTCTTCTTTTCTTCAGATTACATGCTTTTCATCGCTCCAGTTTCTTAAAAAAGGCTTGACCTGATGATAAATTTGTAGCTATTCTTCTTACCTGATTATCCAATCTTTTGTGCAGTAACACAGGGGATTTATTCTCGCACTGAAAGGTTTGATACCATGTATTATATCCTTTCCGTGACAGACTTTCAGTCCAATGTCAAGCCGCCTTCTGTTTGGTTGAATGTTCAGGTTAAATTTACCCTTCTTGCAATTTTGCCTTTATCTGCTACTGTTCCTACTTCTTTTGTCGAATCCCTTAAAATCTAACTTGTTCATATGTGCAGCGTGACATATTCTATAAGCAACATGGTTTGAACATGAGAAGCTACATAGTTTCCATCCTAAAGAGTGTCCCTGTCAAGTATATTTCATCACCTGAGTTGGGTTTCCTCAAAAGTATATCTAAAAGAGTTGGCGGCAGAACAAAGCTTGTGTTTCGCTTTCCTGATAACTTTCTCTCCGATCCTTCTACAAACCAAACTTACAGCTCACTGTCGAAGAACCTAACATTTATTAAGACCATTGCTTCTGGTATCATGGTCCCCAAGACCTACATCTGGCCAGTGACGAATGATAACTATCTGGAGCCTCCAACATCTTTTGTCCGAGATGCCCACAGTGCAGGGCTAGAAATATATGCATCTGACTTCGCAAATGATAGAATTATTCCCTATAACTACAGTTATGATCCCTTGCAAGAATACCTATCATTTATAAGTGATGGCGGCTTCTCTGTGGATGGTGTATTAACAGACTACCCTATTACTGCATCCGAGGCTATTGGTACGTCACTTCTTTTTACACAGAGTACCTATGAAATCATTGAGTACAATGCTGTTTCGACTTTCTGCTTCACCATGTTTTCTTTTCTTTAGCCTGAAATAAGATCTTAACCTGGAAGCTTGCTATCCATGTGCCAGAACCATGAGTTGGTTGTGAGATCTTATGGGTTTCACCTCTAGCCTACCCCAACTTATTTGGGACCAAAGGCTTTGTTGTTGTTGAACCTGAAATAAGATCTTAACATATAGGAATAACTCTGTAAATATACAACGACAATAATGTGATACCTGCGCAATTGCATCTTTTATCATGCCATTTTATACATGCATTACATTTTATTTCTACATCTATAAATGATTGAAAGATTTTTCTAACTTATTTACCTGGCTGGAGACAAGTTAACTTTATGCCTTTTTACATTTAAGTTTGCTTGTGAATCACTCTCTTTTATCTTTTGAACTTGTGATCTCTAATTAAGGAGATGCACTAGATTACGATCGTTCCCCTATTGAGCACATTTCTCTTTAACACATTACATCCTCATTAAACTTGCCTTCCCTAAGCTATCCAACTTTAGACCTTCAGCCGATGAGCTGAAAGATTGGACTTTGTACAAATGTAACATGCATCAAATAATTAAAGTGATGTTTAAGAAAATGCAGAACACTTATTGATTGTATAAATATATGAGCAATATAGTTTTCTTCCGTTGCTAATTCATTTGAATTTTCTACCCTTCAGGCTGTTTTGCTGACTTGAATGCAAGTAAGGCGGATCATGGTATGTATATCTGGGCGTAAATCCTAGTACTGCTGCCAGCCATGATGCTTGGATGCGTAAAAGTTCAACTCTGTTTAATTGTTCCAGTGTTTCTCTGCAGGGAAACCTTTAATCATTTCACATAATGGTGCCAGTGGAGACTACCCAGATTGTACTGATCTTGCCTACCAGAATGCAATTAAGGATGGTGCTGACGTGATTGACTGTGTCCTTCAAGTGACAAAAGATCGAGTTCTTATTTGCATGAGTTCCATCAACCTGCTCGAGACCACCAATGTTCAGATGACACCTTTCAGTTCCGTACATCTGTCATTCCTGAAGTTCGGGGTACACCAGGGATTTTTACATTCAACCTTACTTGGAATGACATTAGCGATAGTTCTTTGAAACGTGAGTTCCTTCATCACAGCATGGAGATGATTTTCTTAATGTTGTTTTCTGTGGAAGTTGATGGTTAACAGCTGAGAAGTATGTGGATGGCATAAAAACAAAAAAATAAATTCTTGTAGTGTCCTCATACCTACCTTTTTTCTGCAGCCAAGATATCTAGCCCATTGAGTACCTACTATCTTGTAAGAAACCCGAGATACACAAATAATGGGAAGTTTGTCAAGTTCTCGGACTTTCTGGAATTTGGAAAGGATCAGGATTTGTCTGGCATCATGATCATTATCGAGGTGATACTTCCGCTTGAAGTAACTTCAATTTTAATCCCTTAGGTTATGCCTACTAGCCAATTTACTAATTTGACTCTCTTTTATTCAAAAATGAGAGTTCTAGTTTAAGGAACATAATATATTTACTTATTTGTCTTTTCCTTAGTTGTATAATTTATTTAACTGATGTCATGACCATGTATTCTCTTATCGGCAAGGAATATGATAATCATGAAATGTACCGAACACGCAAAACGTCGGCAAATAGCACATACAGATATAATGTGTAATTCTATCTATTATTATGTGTGCAGTAATCAGTACCGTGTTCTTGGCTAGGTTATTACTGAAAGCTCATATTTGTCACACAAGCGTTACCATATGAATATTTAGTCCTTAGAAGTCAAACTTCTTGCAATTTTCTTAAGCTTTAATCAGTGGAGTCCCTATTTGATCAACATGTCTTCTGTGCTGCAGAATGCCGCATTTATGGCGAAGTCATTAGGATTTGATGTTCTCGAGTCCCTAACCACTGCCTTAAATGATGCTGGCTATAATAATCAAACTACCAAGGAAGTCATGATCCAGTCAACAGATAGTGCTGTTCTTGTGAAATTGAAGCAGCAGAAAGCAAAATACAAGCTTGTTTACACTCTCCCGTCAGGCATTGGGTCTGCTTCTGTTTCCTCGCTAACAGATGTTAAGGAGTTTGCTGAGGCTGTAGTTGTCGACAGGAGTTCTTTCTTTGCACAAAGTGTGCATTTTATCATCAACCACACCAGCCTTTTGACAGATCTGCAGTCCGCAGGACTAACGGTATACGCGCAGGTGTTCCGCAACGAGTTTGTATCACAACCTTGGGACTTCTTCGGAGATGAAACAGTGGAAATTAATAGCTATGCCCAGTCGCTTAAAGTCGATGGCTTAATCACTGACTTCCCCAAGACAGTGAGGAGATACAAGAGTAAGTTACCTTTGCGATCTTTCATTCGTGTTTTGCTGCTTGTGTTGTTTAGACTAATTTGTAGTATTAACGGCTGTGGTGCCCCTGCCGAACCATTTCGGGCATTCATATAGCTAACAGCAATAAGAAACTCTCTTTTTTCTTTTGGATAAGTGACAGTATTTGACCTTTGCTACATTGTATTGGCAGGGAATTCTTGTACGGGTTTGGGAAATGACGTGCCCTCCTACATGGGGAACGTTACTGTCGGTGGCCTGGCGCAACTACTCAAGAATCAAGCCGCTCCTCAGGCCCAGCCGCCATCTGTGGCACCAATGCCAAAATTGGACGCATCAAGCGTGCAGCAGCCGCCATTCCCCCCTGTCGCGCCCAAGAATGCACCTTTTGGTGCCGGCCCACCTCCTGGTTCATCGCCTTCTGCTGCTCACAAGACGGCTGTAAGCACCTGCATTCTGCTGGTAGTGGCATGTGCAACTCTTCTGCTTTGAGCATCAAGCCATGAGGCTGTGTGCTAGTAGGTTAAGTTACCGGAGGGACCGTTAGACTTGCGCAAGCTATCATCTTGCTATTTTGTGCTACACACACACACACACACACACACACACACACACACACACACACACACACACACATCTGGCGTTCGTTTCTGTAGCTATTCCGGCACATTGGTGTATTTGATCTATCAACTAAACTGAAAAGGTTCGGTTTATCACTCTAGCAAGCACAAGTGCTCGATATTTCATACAGTACTACATTGCTGAGTGGTGATCGGCGGGAAGATGTTGTCTTACCATTGTTGTGTATAAAAGAACTGTACTTGTTAGCTGAAAAGAATGTGTTGCGCTGTGAAAATTGAGGAAGAGTGCATATTTCTAGGTTCAGCCATTCAGGTGTAAGACCTCGGCAGTGTTAAATAAGTCTGGTGTCTTATTTTTTGGCCGAAGAAACATGTGTGCAGGACCAAGACAAGTGCAGGCAGCAATCTGATTATTCGGCGTTAGTATGTAAAATCAGCATGAGATCCCTGGAGAAAACCAGCCAGGATTGCGCAGGACACAAGCGAAAGCCGAACAAAATATTCAGATAAAATCGCCAGATATCTGTGTCACCTACAAACCATTAAGTTCGGGCGAAGCGTCTCAAAACAACTTACCTTTTTCTCCGAAAAAAAGGAGGCTGTACCCGATTATCTCATCGTCCTAGCATGATATTCTCTCGGTTATAAGATCCAGCGGAACAAACTCTCCAAAGATGAGACCGCCGGAATCTTGGATTTCACCCAAGCCAACGCCCTGAGAGATCATCTGCAGCCGGCTCCTCGTCATGCCGAAAGAGGTTCAGCAGGGCAGGTTTGAGGTTGTCCGCCTGTCCGTACAGGGAGACAGAGAGATGGTCATGAGTCTCAGGTGATTCCCTGGCCATGAGCAGACCGGCGTCTTCGCCGCCAAACGGCAGATACTCCACCGAGGGTCCGAGGCCCAGAAGAGCAGACGTCTCTGCTCCTCAGCCGTCATGCTCGGCCTGTCCTGCAGATCGTGGTTGTGCAATTAGCGCCATGCCTAGATCTAGCACCGGTCACGAAGGTGCGGTGGAGCGACCTTCCTCTCAGGTAAACTTCGCTTCATTGTGTTTATTTTTGTCTTTTTGACGGCAACCAGCAGATTTTCTCCCGCATTTGTCCGTGGTCCCGTGGACAAGGGGACTAGTCCGCGGACACGTGGTCCCGTGGACAATGGGACCAGTCCGCGGACACGAATGCGGAAGGACGACATCCAACTCTAGCCGCATACATTTTGACTGTAACTTGAATCAAACAGGCGAAACTCGTTCAAACACGGTCGAATTTTATATAAATATGACGGATTTCATACAAACACGACGAATTTTCATTACATTTCAAACATCTAGAACAAAAAAAAAGACCCGAACATAAACCTATCCCGCGGCGGCGGCGCCCCGCATCCAAGCCCGTGTCGTCCTACATCCGCCGTCTCCATAAGCACCGGCGATGAGACTGATGAAGTGAAGGTGCGGTCTCTCGCAAGGAAGAGTAGAACACACGAGACGGACTGGCTCACATGGGACACAAACACAAGGCACCGCCGCCTCCCGTGGCCTACTCATCATCGGAGGATCAAGGCCATGCCCATATCTAGCACCGGCGACGAAGGTGCGGTGCAGCGACCTTCCTCTCATGTAAACTTCGCTTCATTGGGTTTTTATTTTTGTTTTTTGGCTAGTTTATCAGGCTTGCCGCCTGGTAACTTCGCTTCATTGCGTTGATAAGTGGTAGTGACAAATTATGTGACTTTGTTTTGGTGGTGTTTTCGTGAGCTGTAAGTGCGACCTTAATGTATCTATCAATGATGGTGTTTTTACATTGTTCCCTTATTGATGTCATTGTTCGGAGTTATGTCGAACTTGATTTTCAAGGCGAAAATCCATGATCTGGCCTAGGTAGGCAAATAGATCTGTTGTGGAAACCGGTCTCATTTTTTGTAAAAAGGATCAGATCGATTACGAAGATTCACTGAAAGTACAAAACATCTCAAACATAATAAAATTTACATCGAGGTCCATGCACCACAGAACGACCATTGCCGCCGCCAGAACGCGCCGTCGACGCGCCGTTGTCGCCGCTCCCATACCAGAGCCGCCCTGACCTTGTCGATGATAGCGAGGAAGTCTCCGTTCACGTGCCCCTAAGGACCAGCGTCCCGGAGCCGCATTCATCGTTGTTGAATCCTTGAATCGACGTGAAGAACCTGACACCAAATCTCGCCGTTGCTTACGCACGAGAAACTCTAACCTTGCCGCTCCGAGGAGCTGGCAGGAATCCACGCTAGAGTTCTATCTAATCCGTCGCTATGAACTAACTTGAGAAGGATCGAAGCTCGAAAGACTAACTCGAAGAAGAAGCATCGTCATCCGTCTGAGCGCCGCACCTGGGAGAACTAAAACCGTACCTATCTAAGCCGTGGCGATAGGAATATCCTCCCGGCCATCGGCCGCAGGAGTGGCAGACGGAGGGGAGGCGAATCCACGGGTTCGCCGACAGAAACCAAGGGGAGGAAGGCTTTCCTTAGTCGTGTTGCGAGAGGGGAAAGAAAAAGCTATAGGAGCGTCTCAAGTTACATCTATTGCGGAAACCGACTAGTTGATGCGTGCCACACAGACTTGAGAGCCAGAAACTGTCGTTCCAAATGCTCACAAAAGTAGAAGGGGGTAAAACTGACACACTTTTCCTAAATGGGATATACCGAATGAAATTATACTAAAGGGATGAGTAATGTCACAACTGTCAATTTAGGGGAAAAACAAAAATTCACTCTTAATTTAGTCTGCAAATGCATGTGAACACCTTTTGAGTTCTTTCCCGGAGAAGATCATCACCGAAGATCATATCTCACCAAAGCTGTTGCTCACATGCTCCTGGGTGATCTTCTGTAGCCGGCTCAACATCATGGCGAAGGAGGTATACATTGGTAGGTTCAGTTGGTAAATGCAGGTGGACGATGAAGGGAGATGCTCCGAGATCTTCGATGATGCTTTTGATATGACTAGACCACTGCCAAGGTCTAGCCCGCGGAAACCGTCAAATGGCAGATACTCGACGGAGGTCCAGAAGAAGAGCAATCGTCGTTGCTCTTCAACCATCATGCTTGTCACGGCCTGTGTGGTAAAAATATGAGGTGACTCTTACTAGTTGCAAAGAACATAATATGCAGATTTAAGAGTGAGTGAAATCTTGCCTTATCTGAGAACAACATATCCAAAAAGAACTGAGTTTCTTATTGGAACTGTATTCCAACAAAAATAAAGTAGTTGCACATTTTAAAATTTGGGAGCGGGTGGGCGCTAGCCGCCTAAAAATTTGCAAAGGGTCAGTCGATTTCACCCCTATTATCTCAACTGTTGGTTAAAGATCCAACAGACAATACTTCATCTTCAACCTCGATCCGGTACGCAATGTTTCTCTTCTTCTTCTCTCCGTCACCGACCCAACCTAGGCCTAACCGCATGCCTCCGTCGGCGGTGCTGTAGGGATTGCTTGGCTGCCCTGCCCTTCCTTCGACCTCCTCCCACCGCTGGGCTTGCCACCACCCTCGGCTGTCCCTCTAAACCGGCAAACCACCTGAAATTTCCAGGCAAACTTGCACCCCCGCGCCCCTAAGATACACACTAAGGCTGCTGCTTCCCCGGCGAACCTGTATCCCCCGGACCCCTAAGATAGACACCGAAGTTGCTGCTTCCTTGACAAATTTGCACCCCTGATACCCCCTAATATAGACAAGATGAAACCTGTTGTCGGTGGTCTCGGTGCTTCGCGTGCCTCCTGCTTCCTTTCCAACAGAAATCGATGACACAAATTTCATTTTCACACGAATGGTGTTGCTGTTAAAATTTATTACAACTTGGTATGATGTAAAAAAGAATTATTCTCATGCGACCTAGAAATGTGAGGATTTCAATTAGTATAAAATTTGCACTAGAACATGGTAGTAAAATCTAGAGCAACGAAATAAACTAAGATTGGAGGGATCATATACCTCCCAGAACCAGTTGATCTGATCATCTTGTTGGGTGTACCCCCCATCATATCTGGTATATTCTTTCCATTCCTGCACATCAATGGTGCCGATGCGCCCGCCCAGCATACTGTCAAGATCTTCCAAATGCAAGCTCAGGAAGAAAAGTTTCCGTAACTCCGGCTTTACGAGCATGTAGGAAAACCCCTTAGCGAAATGAGTTAGTTGTTCTTTGGTGCTGGCCATGAAGAGACTTTGGATCAGCAGATCGATGTACTGGCCTCTGTTCTTGCTATCGACAGCGATATCTCTCCCTCCCGGAAGGAGATCGATGACATCCCCTGAGCCAAATACCCCAACTTCCCACGCAAATGTGAGACCCAGCGCGTCTGAATCGACGAGATCAGGATCCATCTCTAGGATTTTCTTGCAGCTTGCATGCGTGCTTGGGTCTGCGTCTGCAACGTCGTCCAGGGTGAGAGGCCTCCCGGCTAGCTGAAAGAAGAGCGTCCGGTCAAACCGAACCCCCACCGGGACGTTGTGCATCAGGGCCAGTCCGATCATCCGTCCCGCAAAATCGTAGTACTTCAGTTGCAGTGGATCCGCTCCAGATGCTGCTTCCAGCCGGAATGAACGATTGAATAGATCAGTCACGAAAAATGGCATTTGATTTGATATGAACATGATTTTGAATGCATTTTGCAGATACTGAAGGAAGTAAAGAAAATTAAACAGGATGTTGTCACCTCGATTCAGGAAGAACCTTCGCCGGTCACGCGGACAGGGCGAGAAGAGGCCGTGCCGCGGGTCGAACAGCGCGCGGCACACCAGGGAGATCCACTCCCTTGCTACCCCCTCGCCAATGGCCTCCTCGTCCAGGAACTCCACGAACAGGCGACCATGGAGCACGTGGCTCGCCGCCTCGGAGACATATCTGAGGGAGTCGGTCAGCAGCTGCGACCGATCAATGAGCATCTCGAGCGCATGAGGCTCATCGTCAAACAGCATGAGCGCCGACGACGTTGCGTCCATTTCCGGCAGCATCGCTCTGGCGAAATGCATCCGCACCTCGAACCCGAGGAGGTCCTTGTGCTTGACGACAATCCGGCCGATGTCCTTGCACCGGCTCCTGTCGGCGCTGGTGCCGAGCACGAGCGCATTCAGGTACGCCGCGTGCGCCGTGCAGGTGGCCCGGATGGCGCCGGCGAAGTGGCGGTCCGTCACAGACCACATATCCAGTTGGCCGAGCACCACCCAGATGCTGTCAACCATATCCTGCTGGTGCTGCTCCAAGGTCGCCAAACCCGGCAAGATGTTGTGAGTCGCGTCCTGCTGGTGTTGCTCCTTGGTCGCCAAACTCGACCTCGGCGAGGCTCCCTCCAACCTCGTCATGAATGCGTCGACCGAAATCAGCAGGTACATCGCCGTCCGGGACAGCACCGCTCCCACAGGACCGTCCGTGCGTTGTGCGTAAACCTCCCGGCGCCGGAAGTAGCACATCAGTGCAAAGAATACTCTGAACACAAAGAGCTTGTCATCCGGGGCCGCCCACCCTGCTGCCATGTAGCGAATGATCACCTCCGTCGCGTCTTTGGCAATTGGTATTAACTGCTCGATCAACCACTCTTGAGGCATCTTCGGCATGCGTAGCGACGGCGTCCGCTCGAACAAAGAGAGCACTGCCGCCAGCCTGTGCCTGCACTTCTCGTAGAGCTGGTCGCTTCTGCCTTTGCCGGAGGCGGCGGGTATCAACCGACACAACTCCAACCAGAGTGGGAGAAAGCACACCTCAAGGCGAGGTAGTATGCCGCTTATCTCCGGATACAGGAGGCAGGTGATCGCCGAATTGGCTCTCAGGTGATGCGGCATAGAGCCGGAGGAGTAGAGGCGGACCAGAACCCCGATGACTCCGCTGCGGAGGAGGACGTCGAGGTACTCCACGGCCGTCCCTGCTTGTCTCTGGTTGGTGGCTTTGGCGCCGGCGAGGAACTTCTTGACGAGCAGGACGATGTCTCTGGTGTAAAGCATCTTGGTGACATGCTCAAAGTCCGTCCATGGTGAGCAGTTGGGGACACCGAGATGCCACGCCAGTGGATGAATTTGGACTTGGCCGTCGTGTATGAACCTCTTGAACAACTCGGCACTTTCGTTAGAGATGTCCGTGTCGGTTGTTGCCGCCGCGGCAATCTGAGATGCGAGGCTCCATGCGTCGGGATATCGGGTTAAGTGCAAAGTGGCGTCCCGCGGGAGGCCGAGCTCGCCGATCTTCGCCTAAAGGTGGAGGTTCCGACACTCGTGCACGGCGTGGAGGTCGCTTCTCCTCCTGGGTCCCACGTCCACGAAGCGACCGAGCACCTCCCCTAAAGTGTCCCGTGGACCCGCCACGACCACGGTCATCTTGCCGTCGATGCTCTGTACCCTGAGCCGGATGGCATCATCAGATGAGGAGTTTGACTCTCGAGAGATAGCGACGACGTCGGAATCCATGACTCGCAGGTTCCCTGACCAGTAGAATCCTGCCAACTCAAAAGCTGTCATTTGTTGTATCTTTATATTTTACTGTTTTCTTCATTGAAGCCACTCTATTTAAATAGCTGGAGCCCACCCACATGATTTCAGCCATGCCACTCGCTTTAAGCATACGATTGAGACACAGGCGAGTCTCTCATTTCACACACGTAGTACAAGCATGCATTTAAAAGGATCAACCTCTCTCGATTTAAACCGGCTTGAAATCCTGCCAAAAAATTGATACACATATCAATTTCTGTTTCGCATTTTTAAACTTCCAGTTTTATTAACTTTGATACACATATCAATTTCTGTTTCAGTAAATTTAACAATGCTGATTTGAATTCTTTCTATCACATATTTCAATTATTTCAACAAACTAATATCACTCATTTTAGAAACTAATTTCAATAGTTTCAGCAAAACTTATTATTTCAAAAATGTGTGTACTACAGAAACAACAAAAAATTCAATCCTTTTAGATTTCAATCATGATTTCTGTTATTCCAATTACACATATAAGAAAAAATTGACACAAACAATTTCAATTTATATTATCATAACTTGTTCAATACAAATCATACTGATATAACAAATTACACATATAAGAAATACCAATCTCATATATTTCAGACAAGTAATTTCATATATTGTCACAAATAAGTGAAAATGATTATTCAAATTGGTGACATAAAAAATTTCAATTTCTTAGAAAAAAGGTGATTTTAGCTACTCCAAATTTATTTTGAATCAAAAAGAGTGAAATCCATTGTAGCTAATGTGACACAAACAATTTCAATTTATATCTCAACAACTTTTGCAATACATATCACACTGAAATAACAAAATACACACTTAGAAAATACCAATTTCAAATATTTCAGACAAGTAATTATATATTTTTTTCGCAAAAAAGTGAAACTTACTATACAAAAGAGTGACATAATTTTTTTTAATTTTAATAAGCGAAATATTTCATACACATACCAGTTTCACTATTTTTTCACTTCTAAATGAACGAAGTATATTTCAGTTATTCGAATATCATATTGCACAAAAGAATGAAACTCATTATTTCAAAGTACTGACATAAACCATTTTAAAAAAAATGAACCCACAAGTTCTCATTCACATAATGAAGAAACAACAGTTTCAGAAACAGAAACATGCATTCCAATTTCGGAAGAAAATGCATTTCAACAAAAAATACTTTCCAATACAATTCTGATTCACATCGCGGGTGTAGTTTCACAAATCTGCATTTTACATCAGATATAGCATTCGACATATCTACATATCTATTTCGATTTTGGAACAACAGTATCACATATATCACACAATCTGCTATAGATCTGCCCATCGATTTCAGTTAGACACCTTCATTTCCATCAAATATAAACAGGTGTCCATCCAGTGAAGAAGCAAGGGGGGATCTCAAAACGTGTACCATAAAACAAAAATCAGGAAGTAAACACAGAGATAAAGATATTAGGGGAGTTGTTCTTACTCGGGGGTGGACACATCTGGTCGTGGGCTTCATGACTCACCAGATCCGCTGGCGGTCATTCTTGGAGTCGCCAGATCCGGTGACAACCCTGCTCGTCGACCCGTCGTGCTAGGTGGCCGCTGTGGAGGAATAACGCCGGAGCAGGTCTCCCCAACGCCAGCGCCCACGGCAAGGCGGGGTCAGGAGGTTAGGACCGGCGGACTTTGTCGGTCCTAGAGGAGAGGTGGCGGCGATCCGTGGATGTTAGATGGTACTAGGGTTGTTCGGGCAAGGCAGGCATCATTGGCAAAATATATAGTATGGCTACTGAGTGAGAAGACCACATGATATATATTTGATGGCTCAAAATAATGGCATGTCACCAAAATAGTAAAGTTATATGTAAACATCTGGATTCCATGTACCAATATATTCCAAAAACAACAATGCTAATTTGGCATAGAAACATATGTGCTTATATATACATATGATTTTTTTTCCAATATGGCAATACCAAAATGTTTTTCATGACTATTTTTCTTTGTTCTCTTGTTTGTTGCTCTTCTTGCCTTGTTCATTTCTAGAACTCGCGAGAATGCGACAGATCGAGTTGGAGTTAATGCACTTCAATGTGACAACAACAAAGAAGAGTCTAGAGTGGCTAGTATTCGAATGTGTGTGGAAGAGGGAGGGGTTGCTAGTGTTCAATAATAACATAGGCCCCCTCACGGGTGACAATGTTAAGACTCAGGGGAGCCTCACCATATCGAAAATCGGCCTAGCAGGCCGACATATGGCCATTAGGTTGGTATATGCCTTGGTCGTCATCTCGGCATGTGGGCTCTCTAGAAGCAGGGGTCTGGAAGACTTGGCAATCATGATAAGGAAGATGGCTGATAGTGCGAAATACAGTCAGATCCCTCGGTAGGGGTCCAAGCGCAGCTGGAAGTCTTAGATTGAAGGTCACACAAGGGGTTTATCCAGGTTTGGGCCTCAGAAGAGTAATACCCTACGTCCTGCTTGTTTGATTATTCATGATGAAGGGATACCTCGTGCGAGAAGATACCAATAGTGCAGGCGGGTCCTATACAAACTGTTTTTACCACCTTTCCACTATGGAGTTTTAAACCGTCGCCTTGCCTGTGTGTGCGATAAGTGGGTCCATCCCACATGACCTAGATATCATCGGCGGTAGTTCCTCCGGTCACACATGTGGGGCAAAAAGAGCTCGTGGCGATCAGACGAGCCATCACAAACAATTATACAGAGCAAATCGTGTGAGATGTTCTTAGCAACCCACGCAGTGAATCCCAAACAAACATTTTCGTTCGTGTGTACATCACACATAATTTTCCGCATCACATCGTCTGTGATAGAGTTGCCATGACAGATGATATTCATAATTTTATCGTTTGTGTTATTGAATGCATCACACACGATGCCTAGAAGAAACTGTATGGGATAGGTTGTCCATCACACACAGTTTCTATGTGAAAATGTTTGTGCAAGGTGGCCTATGATGTGATAGGTGGGAACCCGATGAACGAGTTTACGCCCGAGGGTGGCCCGATCTTCACGTCGTAGGATTGAATTGGGAGCGATAACTAGCTGCAAGCAGCCGGGATAACTAGATTTATACCTGCCAAGGTTGGATGCAACCCGTACATTGGGGATGGCTGACCGAAGCTATAAGAACTCCAAACCGCTGTCCGAACAATCGCAGAACCACGAACTGGGACTAACCCACACAAAACGGCCGGAACCGTAGAGCACGAATTAGGGGGAACCAGAGGCTCCTTCTTGAGAATCCGGATGAACTCACAAGAGAAAGGTAGCAAGGATCTCTCGGATCTCTCTAGCAGTCTTGCTGCATAAGCTTGTAGCTGAATGGTTTGACAAAAGGTTCTTTCTAGAGGATGGGGGAGGTGGGGTTTTATAGCAGGGACAACCCCCCTTGGCTAGGTGTGAAAATGGTTTAAAAATTAAAAGGTTTGCATGGCTTCCTCGGGGAAATAAGCAGTCAACTTTGGGAGTTGTTGAAGAGCTCCTCGGAAATTCGTGAAGCCTTGACACCCTGAACACTTTCCACGAGATTGGCTAGAACTTTTGACTCAGAACTCCAAATGATATGAGGTTTTTTGCATTGGAAAGATACTTTGATGTAGCTTATGGTGATGTACCCCTATGGCCCCATCTCTCCACCACATGGGTGTGGCACAACAAAACATCAGAGGTAAAAAATGATAGCATCAGCTTCACTTGAAACTTGTTATCTCCAAACTTGTTCCTCCAAACCGGTTGCTTCAAGAGCTCATAGGTTGTTGGATTTCTTCCATGTGATACCTAAGTTCAAGCAACAACAATGGGGATGAAAGTGCAGCCATGTATTCAAGATTATAGTATGAACTTAAGTTAGCGTTCACCTGGACATGTGTTTGCTTGATTCGACTTAGTAATTCTTTCCAACGAATTTTTGCACATTTTTTAAAAGTAGTGTATGATGTACCAATGTGCTCATCATACTCCCTCCCCCGATGAAGATTCGTCCTCGGCTCTTGTTGATCTACAAAAGATACGTAGAAGGGAAGTAGATAATATTCAAGTAAAGGAATAATGCAATCCTCATTTGTAGATTTCACCTTAGAATTGTGTTGCATCTGATCATGCATTTGTTTATCACAACTTGGAGTTTGTCCAAGGATGATCGGTGATGTTTCAATGATTGAGAGTCGTCCTCGACTCTCTTGAAAAAGAGTCGGCCTCGACTCTACCTGGTCATTGATACGTCCATTTTGCATCATGCTTTTATATCGATATTTATTGCATTATGAGTTGTTATTACATGTTATGTCACAATAATTATGCTTATTCTCTCTTATTTTACAAGGTTTACATGAAGCGGGAGAATGCCGGCAGCTGGGATTCTGGGCTGGAAAAGGAGCAAATATTAAAGACCTATTCTGCACAACTCCAAAAGTCCTGAAACTCCACGAAAGTTATTTTTGGAATTAAAAAATAATAATGGGCGAAGAAAGTACCAGAGGGGGCCCACACCCTGGCCACGAGGGTGGGGGCGCGCCCTACCCCCTAGGCACGCCCCCTGCCTTGTGGGCCCCCTGGCAGCCCTCCGGTGACCATCTTCTGCTATATGAAGACTTTTACCCTGGAAAAAATCATAAGAAAGCGTTCGGGACGAAACACCACCGCCACGAGGTGGAACCTTGGCGGAGCCAATCTTGGGCTCCGGCGGAGCTGCTCTGCCAGGGAAACTTCCCTCCGGGAGGGGGAAATCATCACCATCGTCATCACCATCGATCCTCTCATCATGAGGGGGTCAATCTCCATCAACATCTTCACCAGCACCATCTCCTCTCAAACCCTAGTTCATCTCTTGTATCCAATCTTTGTCCCAAAACCTCAGATTGGTACCCGCGGGTTGCTAGTAGTGTTGATTACTCCTTGCAGTTGATGCTAGTTGGTTTATTCGGTGGAAGATCATATGTTCAGATCCTATATGCATATTAATACCCCTCTGATTATGAACATGAGTATGATTTGTGATTAGTTACGTTTGTTCCTGAGGACATGGGAGAAGTCTTGCTATAAGTAGTCATGTGAATTTTGTATTCGTTCGATATTTTGATGAGATGTATGTTGTCTCTCCTCTAGTGGTGTTATGTGAACGTCGACTACATGACACTTCGCCATTGTTTGGGCCTAGAGGAAGGCACTGGGAAGTAATAAGTAGATGATGGGTTGCTAGAGTGACATAAGCTTAAACCCTAGTTTATGCGTTGCTTCGTAAGGGGCTGATTTGGATCCATATGTTTCATGCTATGGTTAGGTTTACCTTAATACTTCTTTTCTAGTTGAGGATGCTTGCAATAGCGGTTTATCATAAGTGGGATGCTTGTCCAAGAAAGGGCAGTACCCAAGCACTGGTCCACCCACATATCAAATTATAAAAGTAACGAACGCGAATCATATGAGCGTGATGAAAACTAGCTTGACGATAATTCCCATGTGTCCTCGGGAGCGCTTTTCTTCATATAAGAATTTGTCCAGGCTTGTCCTTTGCTACAAAAAGGATTGGGTCACCTTGCTGCACCTTACTTACTTTTGTTACTTGTTACACGTTACAAATTACCTTATCATAAAACTATCTATTACCGATAATTTCAGTGCTTGCAGAGAATACCTTACTGAAAACCGCTTGTCATTTCCTTCTGCTCCTCGTTGGGTTCGACACTCTTACTTATCGAAAGGACTACAATAGATCCCCTACACTTGTGGGTCATCAAGACTCTTTTCTAGCGCCGTTGCCGGGGAGTGAAGCGCCTTTGGTGAGTGGAACTTGGTAAGGAAAAAAATTATATAGTGTGCTGAAATTTATTGTCACTTGTTACTATGGAACATAATCCTTTGAGGGGCTTGTTCGGGGTATCTTCACCCCGACCAGTAGAGCAAAGAGTTGCTCCTCAACCTACTGAACCTACTGAAAATGTTTACTTTGAAATTCCTTCGGGTATGATAGGGAAACTGCTAGCTAATCCTTTTACAGGAGATGGAACATTGCATCCTGATTTGCACCTAATCTATGTTGATGAAGTTTGTGGATTATTTAAGCTTGCAGGTATGCCTGATGATGTTGTCAAGAAGAAGGTCTTCCCTTTATCTTTGAAGGGAGAGGCATTGACATGGTTTAGGCTATGTGATGATATGGGATCATGGAACTACATCCGATTGAAATTGGAATTTCATCAGAAGTTTTATCCTATGCATCTTGTTCATCGTGATCGTAATTACATATATAATTTTTGGCCTCGTGAAGGAGAAAGCATCGCTCAAGCTTGGGGGAGGCTTAAGTCAATGTTATATTCATGCCCCAATCATGAGCTCTCAAGAGAAATGATTATTCAAAAAATTTATGCTCGGATTTCTCTCAACAATCGCTCCATGCTCGATACTTCTTGGACTGGTTCCTTTATGATGAAGACTATTGAATTCAGATGGACTTTATTGGAAAGAATTAAACGT